ACGTTAGAACCTGGGAAAGAAAAACTTTCTCTGTGCTTCACAGGGAGTCCTGCTTTCGGCTGCGTGGGGTCCAACCCCCCCCCTCAGGTGGGATGGAGCAACTGTTGTAGCTGCTGGACTCCCTTGGCTACCCACCTGCACACCAGAAAAGGGGCCCTGTCCCCCTGGCTGAGGTTGACCTGGTTTGGGCCACATTCTGAGTCCTCTTAGCCGGACTCCCTTCCAATTGAAGGGGGGGGAAAACCCACCAAACTAGCTGAGTAAAACAAATCCAGGCGATATTTTGACTTCAGACTTCTGTTTGACTACAATGCCTTGTGATAGGAGGGAGAGGATTATGTCTCTCTGTAAATCCAACACAACCTGGGAAATATTAAAGCCATAATAACAGGAATAAATCTCGGGTGATAACAGACTCTACAAGGAACCCTCTAGCCAGCATTTATTTATTTGCTTGGTTTTACCCCACCTTTCTCCTTGAAAAGGATCCAAGGCAGCTTCCAACAATGGAAGACAATGTATTCTCAAAGGCTTTCATGGCCAGGATCCAATGGTTGTTGTGGGTTTTCCAGGCTCTTTGGCCATGTTCTGAAGGTTGTTCTTCCGTTTTGCCCCTCTCTGTGGCCAGCATCTTCAGAGGACAGGAGTCAGAACTTAAGAAAGAAAAAAACTTAAGAACACAGCCAAACAGCCCAGGAAACTCATAACAACCAACGAAAGGCAAAATTTAAAGTTGAAAACAATGAGTATACAATGGTAGTTAACATCATTAAAAGACAATACTTAAACATTATGAACAATGAATACGGTGGCATCTTGCATCAATTAATAGGTAATATTAAGGCCAAGGTCAGTAAGGATACAGACATTGTTTAAAATGTCACTTTGAGGAGAACAGAAAAACGGAAAACAGAAGCAGTACTGACAATCCAGTCAAAGCAGTAATGCACAACAATCCGTCTAAAAATCGCACACAGGTAGCTGGTTGCTGAGGGAAGGCTTGCCTGAAGAGAAAGGTCTTGGCCTCCTATCATTTGGGAGATTCTGGGGCCTGCTGTCCAAAAAAGAGAGTAACTTTTCCAAGCTGTGACGTGGCCTCCTCCTGCCGATCACTGGGGGAAAACCTTGGCTGGTTGACAGGTGTCTACGACACAAGGGAGGAGACCGTCCATGAAAAGTGTGTGTCAGATCTAAGGTGTTGGGTTTTTAATGTGCCCCCGGACTTTTTAAGGGTTTTGTCACAAGAGGCGGGCACAGATTTACAGAATTCCCCTTCTGGAAAGGTTTCCAATCCCTGGCATTGTTCAGGTGCCACTGCCATGGAGTAACTGGACCCAAACCAGTGCAGAAAGAGGCCGCTTGTAGTATTCCAAGCCGAAGGCTGTGTGGGCACTGCTGGAGCCCTCCTTCTGCAAGAGCAGAGAGAGGAATCGGGTGCTGAATGGTAGCTCTGAGAGCCAGCATGGTGAAAGGGCGAGAGGCTAGGGGCACAGGAGGCCTGAGTTCAAATCCCTGTCCAGACATGGAATCTGGTGGCTGGTGGTAGTTAATCTATTCCTTGCCTCTCCCCTGTATCCCCAAAGCCCTGTTAGGGTCACCGTAAGAGGGATGTGATTTGATTGCCAAACACACACAAATAACAACACAGGATATGCTGGCTTGCATATGCTCGGTGATTTTGCTCAAGATGCTGACATTAAAATAAAAAGCCTTCAAAAAGAAGAAGAAGAAAATGCTGAGGTAGATGAAACCAGCAGCCGTTGAATCCTCGTGGCTGCCAGAGTCTTGACTGAACTTCACAGAAATGGTTTCCCTGCCCTCTCCAGCCACCACGGAGCTGCTGGGGAAGGCTCAGAGTCACTCCAACTGCTCAGCAGAACCGTTGTCAGTGTAAAGAACTTTGGCCTGAAAGAGGCTGTGGGTGCGAATTGGGCTGATTTCTGGACTCGCATAATTCGTAACAGTAAGCTGAGAAAATATGTTAAGGACATGGTTTTTGATCAAAGCTTGGGAAAGTTGCAGTGCTTTAAATGCTTGCAATTCAAACTTTGGTGACCACACACATCACTAAAATGATCTGTATATTTAGACGCAATTCAGGTGGGAGGGGGCGGAGGCTGGGAAGAAGGACCCTGGAATGGCTGCTGGGAGGAGGCAGGGGGACAAATCCTGGCCTACAGATGGGCTTGAAAAGCGGTTGAAATTAGGCTGAGCTTCTGTCAGTAGTCACTAGGAATGCAGGACTCCTCCTGATTCTCAACAGACAAAACCTAAGCTTGGAAAAGGTCCTTTTTTTTCTGGCTTAACTCCTAGAATCTTGCAGCTAGCATGGCTGGTCGGATGACTGTGTCGGTGGAATTCAGTGTTTTGTTTTGGTCTAAAAGGTAGTTTATCCAAGCTTTGAGCAAAACTGAGATTATCTGTGACAAGTTTCACCTAAAGCAAAGCTCGAGATGAATTTGGAAAATCCAGGGCAATTTTGGACAAGAAGAGGAGTGAGATCTCCCAGGTCCCACTCCACCGACTGCTCAGGCCACCTCTCTAGTTGCGGCTGCTGCTGCTGATGATGATTGCTCAGTGAAATTCAAGGTCCATTCAACTCATGCTGCCAAGGTGCTGGGTGCAGGGAATGTTTTCTGCTTCCCTCTTGTTATTGTCTTCAGTCAGCCACATTTCTCAGGATGCTCAGCATCTCCAGTTCAAACCAGAGGGGCAAGGGCTGTGCCAGGCAGCCCCCACTTTTCCTCTTTCCCCTCCACAAAAGAGTGACCACGGGCTACAGGTGGGCGCCTCCGACAGGCTCCTCGGGGGGGATCGGAACGTGGCCCCGGTGACTTGCTGTGTTCCTTTCCGGCTTCGTCCAGGTTTGGGCTCCTTGCCAAACCTGAGGAAGGCAAATGGAATTACGCAAAGGTGGTGTGGTGGCAGGCGGTGGCCGGGGGGGAGAGATGTAAAGCAGAGCTAAATTTATACCTTAAATACTGAAGCGGCAAAGGCTCTGCGGGAAACGCTCTCCTTTCTGGACCAAAGGCGGGCCGGAGCAGCGGCAGAGGCTCCCTGCTGTAGCCCCAGAGGCAGGCTTCCCCCCCCCCCGCCGCCAATGGCAACTGCACCCTTGAGGCCTCCCCACAGGGATGTGGTTTCGGGGCACATGGGCACAACCACAAATCTATTTCAGGAGGATTATTTTAAGACTCAAAGCCATTAGGCAGGCAGACAGGGAGGGCTGACATAGCTTTTGGTTCATAAAAAGTTAGCCAGAAGATGAAACAAAACAAAAAAAGGAGAGGCAAAACAAAAATGAATGCAGAAAACAACAGTTACAACTTGTTTTTTTGCTTGGTCTTCCTGTTCTTCTAGAAGGTCTTAATTTCTAAACTGAAAAGATACAGAGTCTCAAACCTGCACTGGAGTCAGTGATGATGTGGATAAAGGCTTGGTTTGATCTGGAGGCCGGGGAACGAACTTCACAATACAGCCCCTGGTCCTGTTGTTGTCTGTTGCCAAGGCCTTTCCTTTATATGTACCTTCAAGGTCTGTGAAAGGGGAGGAAATTGCACCAGTTAATGGGGAGGGTCCGGAAAGGGGATTCTCCCCATGCTAACCCTTTCCCTTCCAGCCTTCTGTGATGGGAGATCAAGTCTGAGCAGCACTCAGGGAGAGGGAGGGAGGGAGGGAGGAAACTGTCTCCCTCCATTCAGCCCAGTTGCTGGTCCTTCTCTCCTCCCCTGCAAACTGGGGAAGGCGGCGCAGTTGTCCAGACCACAGAAAAAGCAGCATCAGGTCTGGTTAATTTCACTTCTGCAGGGAAATGCTGGTGGGGTGGGGGAGGGGAGGGAAAATGTTCTTAGCAGAAGCTGCCTTCTTGCATCACTTTGGGCTGCACAAATATTCATGTGGATGAACTCCCACTTATTTATTTATTTATTTATTTATTTATTTATTTATTTATTTCCCACCTTTCTCCTTCAAAAGGACCCAAGGCAGCTTACATATAAAAGCACAATATTCAGGACTAACACTAAAAAGAGTAAGTATACAAATACTAAAAAGGATCAAGTCAACAACACACTAAAAATGGTAAACAAAAGCAACACCGAAACACATTCAAAGCAGTAAGGTGCCACGATGTATCGATTTAAGAGACCCACTCGGGCTTTTAAATCCAACACTAAAAAGGATCAAACAAATATCATACCAAAAATGGTAAACAAAAGCAACACCGAAACACATTCAAAGCAGTAAGGCGCCACGATGTATCGATTTAAGAGACCCACAGGAGAAGCCACAGAGAAGGCCCTCTCCTGTGTCCTGGGCATGGACTTGCCCCTCCCTGTAAATTAATCCAGGTAGAGCAGGGATATTGAGGTTTGTGCTGTTAACCGTAGCCCACCTCTCGAGCATCTGTGGTCGTAATGCTTCTGGATTAGGGCAGGAGGAGCTTTGGCTCTTCCAGGACGAGGTAGGAATTGCTGAGGATAACCTGAAAAATGGGTTCTACTCCTGACAGCCTTCCGGAGGCAAGAAGACAAAGAATGGAAGCCTTATTCCTGAGCACCACCTCCGTGGGGGGTTCGGGAGTAGGGAGCAAAGCCCTTTCATTTGCATGCAGCGCCTCTGTCCCCTGTTGGGAAAGGGGGGGGGCGGCGGTTACAGGTCATTTATATTAGAGGTCACTTGAGCTACAGATCATGTGTTGCAAAAGGAGAAAAGGAGAGGTGCTCTCAAGGGAATCTTTCTATTGAAGAGCTCAAAAACAGCCCCAGATTTGGCTCAGCTCCAAACTGCTTTTCTGTGTTTTACACACACACACACACACACACACACACACACACATTGCCCCCTGCATTTTTTGGGTGTAATCTAAACAGAGCTGGGCTCCTATGATTAATATCCCTGTGATTCTCTTTGGGAGCAAAATCCGGGGGCATTTAAACAAGTGCAAGGGAGGAAATCCTAAAATCACAATCAAGCTATTATTTCAGTAATCAGAGCTCACTGGGTCCAGCAGAAAAAGAGATGACTCCATGGAGATTTAGCTCCTCTTCTAAGCCGAGGGACGGCTATTTGCTGATTAATTTCTCTCCCTACAACGGGAGGGTGGAATTTCACCACTGCAGGTTTATGTCCCATGGATACGAGGGGGTTCTTTGGGTGCATGCCTGGTGGAAAGAAGGGGGGGAGGGGGAAACGGTTGCTTTCCATGGGAGCTAGACTGAAGCTATCCTTTCATGGGGGGACCAGGAGAGCTTTTAAATCCTGATCAGACCTCCAAAGGTAAACAGCCAGCTTGGCTTCTTTTTCAATCCATCATCTTAATTTTTGCCTTAACTGTCTCCGACTGTAATGGGAGGCAAGCCTCCCCCCCCCCCACCTTGAAAGGCACGCTCAGCCCAGACCTTGCTTTGCATGTTGAAGGATCCAAGCTCAGCTCGTTGTGTCTCCCTCTCGTTAGGTATCGCATTAGGAAGTATATTACTGTTCCTTATTGCAAATATGCAAACAAGGGTCTATAGAAAAGCAAACAATGGAGCATTTAAAAGCATATACATACAGTATAAAGCAATCTGAACATTGCTGATGTACAAGATTCAAGGTACACTTTGGGACATCGGGCAGGACAGGGTCTTCCCCCTCCTCTGTCGGCGACCCGATCCAAGCCTCTGGGGAGGTGCCATCAACAGACCTTCCAACAGGGCTAGCAATGCACGGCGACTCCTACTCAGTTTGTTGTGGATTCCAGACCCCATGACATGGCCCCGGCCCTATCTATTTGGGTTCCCTGGACAGCCTGGCCGTCTTGGCTGTGGCAGCTGCCTTGAGGCCTTTTAGCCCACTTGCCCTGGGCCATTTCCACAGGTGTGCTGAGATGGGTGCCCCAGATTTTGCTTTCTGCCGTTCCCCGCTGGGGGAGTTGTGGTGCCCCTTCCTTCTCTGGTCCGTGCCCCAGAATGACCAGCCACGCACCTGCGCGAGGCCAGGTGGGGGCGTCCTGGACCCTCATGGGGAGGTGACCATGGCCCTATGGACAGTCAGCTGGCTTCACTGCATGAGGAGGCTCGGCAGCCGGCCCTCCCGTCAGCCCCACGAGACAGAACGCACGAGCGCTGGAACGACACCAAACACCCGAGCCATTTGCACACAGATTTCCGAAGCCTCGCAACGTATTAGCCGGGTTTGCAGCCTGGATGATGGCGGGCCTGTTCCGTTTGAAGGCTGGCTCAGAGGCCAGCTGGGCGGCTGCAGATGAGGCCCCTTCACTAGGGGACATCCTTGTCCCAGGCCAGGTAAAATCAGTGTTGAGGCAAAAATGAAATAAAATAAAATATGCCCCAGGTCGCTCTTTGGCAAAGGGTGATGCTGAGAAGCAGAATGGACATCTTTGGGGACTCAGGAGGCTGCCCCCCCCTTCGGGGAGTGTGCATGAAACCCTAACAGCAGCCTTGTTGCTCTTGACCTTTGAGAGGAGGGCCTCCTCATTGAGGTCTGGAAAACACGCCAACGTAGCACACTCGAGGCACTTCTTAAGAGACATCCAGGTGGAGGGGAGTAGTTGGTGCCTCCCCCTTGGAACTAAATGCCTCCTTCTATTTCCCCCCCCCACAGGTTCTTCGACATGTGGCCAGGACTTGCAGGACGGGTCGGGGCACCCCAGTTTCCCAGGTAAGGCACACGTGGAAAATGGAAGGGTGTGGTGCTTGTGGTTGTTAGTGGTTGTGATGATTGTGATGGCAGTGGTGGTGGTGGAGTTGCCACGGTTTTTCCCTCTAGATGGACTGAGAACGGCGTGTGGGCTGGGCTGCTGGAGCCCAAATCCTCTCAGGGACTCTCTGCTCGTCTACTGGCGTTTCTGTCCAAGGGCCAGCAGTAAAGCAAAGGAGATTGGACCTTTTAAACTAGGATGCATCTTGACAGACAAAACCACCCACAGCGCTGGGTCCAGCAGTGAACATAAGGCAGGCCGGGGCCCCAGGAATTCTGGTTTTGTCCCTGCTCGCCTCTCTCCAAAGAGTCCTGACCCTTAAGTGGCTCGCCTCTCTCCAAAGAGTCCTGACCCTCAGGTCCTCACCGTCCCATCCTCAATGCCTCAACCTTGACAGGTTTTGGAAGCTGAGGTGGGTCAGGTATGGCTCATCCTTGCTTAGGAGAAAGAGAATCAGACACGGCTCTCTGGGCATGGCGTAGAGAAGGACTGGAAAGTCATGGTGGCGGCTGCCGGTCAGAGCTGGCAGGCCTGGGCCAGGATGAACCATGGGCCTTTTATGGTGGTCCTAAACACCCCTCTGGCAGCAGATCAAGGAGGGCCAAGGACGGGAGCATAGGGGTGGGGTGAGGAGGACCTTTGGCTGCTCTGGAGCTGGAGGTAGCCATGATCCTGGGGGGTCGCCGCGCCAGGGAAGGGCTGCCCCTTTGCCGACAGCATGCCTGGCCTCGCTTTTGACTCAGTTGAGTTCTCAGCGGAGAAGCAACGGCAACAACGACTGTGCCAGCTCCCGGTCTTTCTCTCATGTTGCCCCTTCGGCCTTGGCAAGGCTGCCTTGCCCCTGGAGGCAGAAAGACCCACACAATTAATGCCACTGTAACAGCAGCCTCTCTGATGGCCTCGCTTTTGACTCAGTTGAGTTCTCCGTGGAGAAGCAACGGCAGCAACGAGCGTGCCAGCTCCCGGTCTTTCTCTCACGTTGTCCCTTCAGCCTTGCCAAGGCTGCCTTGCCCCTGCGAGGCGGAAAGACCCACACAATTAATGCCCCTGTAACAGCAGCCTCTTTGGCCCACAGCACAACAAGGCCCAGCGGCCGGCCATTCATGTGACGTGACACATCGACACGAGGATGTCGACCAGCCAAAGGCACCTCGAGGCCAGAGGCGGCAGGACGACCTTCCAGCCGCCGGCTCTTCTGGGTTCCTGTGGCCGGCATCTCAGCGAGCCGTCGCATCCTCCACTGGGCGGCACATTTTCTAAGACCTAATTAGACCCCCTACCAGCAGGGAGACGGGGAAGAAGGAGTGGGCTCCTCCCGCGGGGGGTCTCTATGCAGGTGGTTTTCCAATAAAGCGAAGCCGGGACCCGCAACTCCCTCCCAAACCCACAAAAAATAGAATTAAGATTTCTATCTGTGTTTGGCTTGGGTTTTGTGCTCCCGACTCTCCAAAAATGACCCTTCCTGGTCTAGAAAGAGCTGAGCTTGACTTTAAAGAGATAGCACAGTATAATGGTTAGAGCAGCGGGTAAAGGACAGGGCAGCCTGTGTGGACATGCCGGCTTCGTCACAACGCCCAGCGTGGGATGCTGGGGTGGTTGCTTGCTCCCTACGTAGCCCGCCTTGCAGGGTTATGGTGATGATACGATGGTGACGAAGGACCACATCCTTTGCTTTTGATTGCCTTGAGGAAAGGCAGGCTGTTGGCGAAAGAACGGGCACCTGCTTGTCTGTGGCCTCCTCTGCCCTTCCCCCTTCGAGAGCCTGGGGAACCCAGTTCCCATGGGCATGAGAAATCCCCCCCCCCTCCTGCCCCTACGTTTCACCTACAAAATGCTTTTGGACAAACTACGGAGGGCTTTGTTTCTTCCCACGTCTGCTGGCCAGGTAGGCCTGCCTTGTGGCTAGTCATTGCCCCCAGAGTCTCTTTTCCAAGCCGTGCTCTTTGACTTGCCAGGCGAAGGGGTGCTGCGTAGGGTGGGCCAAAAGACCTCCTGCACTTCCACCGCCAGGGAACGTGGGAGCACAGCACTCAACCGAGTTTCCTTGCACTCAGGCTGGCTTGGGTGGCTCTTTCCTCTTGGAAGGGGACCCCCTGCGGAGGGTTTTCCCTCTCCCTCCACCCCCAACCCCAGCCCCTCTCCCAGTTCCTCCACGGCCTCCCAGTTCCTCCACTAGTGGAAGGAGGTCTTCTACCTTGACCAGGAGGGCATGGAAGGGCAGGAGAGCTTCTGGACGCCCTCCTTCACCTCTTCGGGCACCAGAGGTGGTGACGCGTCTGCTCCAGAGGAAATTAGGACCTCAGCCACCGCCCTGTTCCCCTGTGCTTAGTAGGTCAGCCTGGCTTCTGTGGGGCCACCTCTTCTCCTCCCTTCCTGTAATCTTATTAGTCTAAGAGAAAGGCTAGAGCTAAAACAGGAGAAAAGCCCCTCTCTTAGCGGCGTGGCTGACAGCTTGCCTTTTAAATCTTTAATAAGCATTAGCTCCGGTCGCAGCAGTCCGGAGAAGCAGGGGGCCAGCCCGCCCGTTCCTTCGTGGCCACAGAACTGCAGCTGGACAGGTGGGCAGACAGGACTGGTGTCATCCGCCCTGTCCCCTACCGAAGGGATCTTGCAGCGAAATGGGGCTGGGGTGCTGGTGGGGAAGCGAGGGTCTGCTCAGCACAACACAAGGAAGGGAAGGGAAGGGAAGGAAAGGGAGGGAGGGAGGGAGGGAAGGGTCTCACCCTCTTCCTTGAGTGGGAAGGTTGCCCAACATAGCTTCTCAGGGGATTGCCCAATGTACCTGTTCAGCTCAGTCTGGCAATTCTGTTCCTCTTTCTGCAGAATATTGCCAACAACAGTCGACCCAAGAAGGTTGTGAATTAACCTTTAGTATATCTGGATTTGTTATTTCTTTATTCAAACAGCTTACAGTATTTATTATTTTTCAACCTGGACTTGAGGGGCCCTTGGCCTGATCCAGTCCAGGGCGCTTTTTCTTAGGTTCTTATGACCACCTCAAACCCTTCATTCTCTACTGGGATCCCAGCAGGGATGGCGCCAGCCTAACCTCCTTTGACAGGGAGCTCCAGATTCAAGGCTCTCCTGCAGTGAAAGCTTTGTCTTGGGTATTCACTCACCAAGCTAGATTCTCTGGGTGGCCTGAGGTGCAACAGGACCTTGGCCGAGTGACTCGACTTCTGGGAAGGAGCACAGGGAGGGGGGGATTGTTATCCTGGCCCCCCGCTGGCCAGAGCACAGTAAGTGAAAACCAGCAACCCAAAGTGAGCTTGGAAGCAAATTGGAAGTTAGTATAAGAAGTTCAAGATAGGGGTTTGTATGCAGTAGTGTAATTGTGAACCTGGAAGGGCTGGTGTTCATCCTGAGAGTCCTTATAGCCACCTTCTCCCCGCCCTCCTGTTCCCCCCCCCAGGCCAAAAAGGCAGACAACTGGATTGGTCCTTATAATCACACAGGGAAGAGGTATTTTGTAAAGTTAGTGGCTCTTCATTGCATGTTCAAAATCAAATCACCCTCCAGTACTTTGGACAGCATCAGGGATTGCCTGCAACAATGTAATGTTTCTAGGAAAATGCATTTCCTTTTCCAGCTACTGAGAGGATTGCAACTAAGCTCAGAGGAAACAGGGAAGGGAGAAGGGGTGGATGTTGTAATGGTTGCTAACCAGAAGGTCCCAGGCCTTCGACCTTGCAAGCCTCACTCTGCTGTGAATGGTCTCTGAAAGACACACCAGGCAACCGCTTGGCAGTCATATTTCACGTATTTTGCTGTTACTTCCCAACACTTTTCCTCCTCCCATCCTTTCCTCTTGTATGATTGAAAGTCATTCTTACAGAAATGGGCCTGATTTATGTTTTTAATTTGTCAAGAACTCCTGCTGAAGCTTAAGTATGATATAAACAAAGGCAAACCTGTCGAAGAAAATCTGCCCTTTTGGACAACCCCACAGCCAAGCCAAGAGACAGGCAGGGGCTTTCCCCCTCACCGCTCCTTTTTTAAAGGGGGTTGCCCCCCAAGGGAATAAACATCTTTGCCCAATCGGAGTGAAAGGAGGGGGTTCCGGGGCAGGAATCTGAGAGTCATTGTGAGCGTCTTGCGTCCAGCACGTGATCCCCTGACTGGCTGCCCTTATTGCCCCTGTGAAGAATAAGGATTCCCAAACCAGCCCAGTTATCAGGTGCTGGTTTTTAAAAATAGCACCATGGACTGAAGCGATGGTAGCAAGAAAGCAGCTCCCAGAAATAACAATCTTGGTTCCTCCCCTTCCCTCAGACTGTGGGTGAATGCCTGGCACAGCCCTGCTAAGGAGGTCCAGAAAGATTTGCACTAAACAGTCCTGAACACGCAAGGTTTTTGTTGTTGTGCCAACAGCCTTTCACCGAGGAAAGAGGGGCAGGGAGGGAGCTGGCTGCCGGGCCTTCCTCCTCCTCCTCCTCTCGCCAGCAAGATGTGTTCGTGGGCAGACCATGTTTGGTTACTTTGATCTGTCCTTAGTTAAAGGAAGCCATCAGTGGAGAGCAGCTTTATCACCCTACATCACGTTCCTTGCCTTATAAATATGCAGTTTTCACTGGCTTTTGTGGACTCGCCATGTTTATATATTCCTTCCTTCCTTCCTTCCTTCCCAAGGTTGCCTCTGTCTCATAGATTTCCACCCACCCTCATGCGCCTGCACATGGAACAAACCAGTCCCAGAGGCTGGATGTCTGTTTTTGCTGACACATAGAAAGTTCACAACTTCAGGCATGGGGATTAAGAGCCGGGTCTTCTCCTGTGACAACACAGCCCTGCCACACTCCGGGTAATTTTCAGTCCTGCTCTGAAGTCCTGAGAAAGCAGCATATATTGTCTGGATTTTTGCAGCTTTTTTCCTGATTGCTTGAGGAGCTCATTGCTGGCAAATGCTAGAATATATATGCACACTTCCGTGCGCACACGCACACACACACACACCAGAGGTTACATTTTGAAAGAGGCTTTCTACCCACATCAAAGAGAAGCAATATTGCTCTGGTGTGCGTGCGCATGCACGTGTGCATGTGTGTGCATGCGCATGCAAGTGTGTGTGCATGCGCATGCAGGTTCACAGAGGCTGATCCTCTCTGAGATGGATGTTAGAATCAAGATGAATGTTGTCCTTTCCAACCCAGCTTCTCTTAAGCACAACTGTTGGAAACAGGTTCCAACAGAACATTCCAGTCAAGCCTGGTTTCCCGTGTTATGATATTCTGCAACATCTATTACTCTTATTAAGGATTCACGTGGCCCCCGTGTGCATCACTAGCTGGTACTGCATCATACTACTAGATATCTGTGAACTGGCCATTTGTACCTGTCCCTACTTCCTCCATTGCCCCTACTGTTGGGCAGAGTGAGTTGACCAATGCAGAGGCCATGATGACTCTTCCGCCCTTTCCCGGAACGTTTCTCTCCCTTAGAAGAAAGAGCGGTGTGTGTCGCAGAGGCTTTAGCTCTCTGGGGCCACCAGATATGATGGAGCAGCTAGTCCTGTTGCTGGCACTGAATTAAGACTGAAATGCCATCCCAGTGGGTTTCTGAACATGTCTTGGGACAGTCCTGTTCATGGAACCAGGGTACCCTAAGTGGCCCACTCAGCTGAAGGATTTGTGGGCACCCAGGCACCATTTGGTGGAAAAGCTGCTAGTCCTGATGGCGAACCAGGACCGCAGCCCTCCCACCACCCAGAAGATTGGAATATTTGTTCACCTGGGCACAGGTCTTATCCTGCCCAGGACAGCAAGGAAATGCATAGTAATGGAACTTGACCAATAGCCACTGGAGCTGAAATGAAACCTGCTGCCCGTTGAAAGGTTTCAGAATGTAAATGTGACTTCTCAGTTTTTAAATGTTTTTAGTTTTGTATTTAAAATGTTCAGTTCTGAAAGATATCCCCTGACTCTGATGAATTTGGAGTGCTTCTTCTACCCCCAAGAACATCCAGGACTGGGAGTGTCCAAAGGCATTCAGAGGAGCAGAAGATGCTTCTTGGATGCTTGCTAACTGAGCGTTGAGTTTCTAGCACTGTGCTTGATGAGTCCTTCTTTCAGCTCTGATCCAGGTTGCATGGATTCACAGAGTCCGGATGCGAAGCGTCACCTTCTCTCTCTCTCTCTCCCCACCCCACCCCCCTCGGGATGCTCTAGGAAGCGTCTGGCTCAGTGTGGCGGCTCCTGCCCAAGCAGAATTGGAGCAGAACATCCGGAAACATCTCGCCTCCTCCTCCGAGCCAATCTTAGACCTCAAGACCGAGGCTGCAGCTGTGCTTCTAGGTAAGGAGGCTCCTCTCTGGGCTTCCACCTGCACAGGTGATCTGGGGCCTGAAGAGGTGCTCGGTGGGTCTGATGGAGCTCAAAGTGCTGCCTGAAGTCTTCGGGAACCTCAGTGCTTGCCTGGATCTGCAGTTGGCAGCAGGGGCGGCGGCGGTGGTGGAGGTCCAATCTGAGTGGCATGGAAAATACAGATGATTATGGAAGCTCCGCATTGCTTCAAGGCCTCCGGGCACTGCTGAAATGAAGCCAGGGGCGTTTAGGGGGAAAGGGAAGCCTGGGGTAGGCTGGCTATCATCGCCATGCCTTGGAATCACAGAATTAGAGAAGAGGCTCCAAGCATCATCATCTACTATGTAGTCCTATCCCATGCGGGCAAAGCAGGCCATGGACAGCTCAAACCTCCAATGAAAGAGAGGCCATCATTTTCTGAGGGTGTCCAGTCCCCTGACCAAAAAGGGAGCATGCTAGTCTGGTTGAGAGGACCTTCACCTTTGAATCACCCCTGCCTTGGCGTTAAGCCTGGTCTTGCATTGGTTTCCCCCGGTGGTGGTGCGACCCTGTTCTCTAGAGTCCTAGTCGGTCACTCTGTCCACTACACCACACTTGACCTAGTGACCAATCCCAAGACTCTGTAGGGCCTTTGGCACAGAGGACGCCTGCATGGGGTCAGCCCGTTGGACCCTCCGACCCGGTTCTCTGCTGGGCAGCCGGTCCCCAGGGGTCGAGGCCCGAGTCTGTCGCAGCCCTTCCTGGAGAAGGTGGCGCTTGGCTCTGAGGCCTTCTGGATACAGCTCAGAGGCTCTGCTCCTGAGCGCTGGCCTCTCCCGGTCCCTGCAGGATGCAGCCAAAGGAGCTGACGCAGTCTCTCCCCAAGATTACGAACGGTGCCCCTTGTTCCGTTTGGGCAAGGAGGGATGGTCAGCAGGGCGGTCCCTCCAGCCCATAAGCTCGCTTGGGCTGTGGATTTCACCGTACATCCCTTCTGTCCCCAGAGAGGCCCAAGGGGCTGCGGACAAGGGTGCCCCCAAGGTCTTTTGCCTTATCCCTTTGTCTGCTTGAGAGACCCGCAGGCAAGCGGGCAGGGTGGAGGGAGGAAGGGAGGGAGGGAAGGGGGGGGAACGGTCTCTCAGAGGCAGCTGTATTTCAGCACCTGGCAGAAGGGACTCTGACAGACAAGCCTGCCCAGTCCTCCGAAAACCTTGGGCTTCCTCCCAAACCTCCAGTGTCACTGAACAAACTGGCCTCGAGCAGAGCCGAGTCCCCATCAATCTGGACGCGGTGCCTGGAGCGACGACGAAGTGACCACTCAATCAATCGGAAACGCTTGCAGGGATGGACGGTGTTGCTCCCAGCCCCTCCAGTCCCCCCCTTCGACAGACAGACCTCAGCCGTTAGGATTTACTGGATTGATGGCCCAGCATCACATCTCGCCTTTCTGTAGAAAAACGGTGAAACCAAAATGAAAACGACACAAAAGGATTGCAAAGGTGTGGGTTGGCTTCCACTGCGTTAGATTCCACTCTAATGAAGTCTTAAGGCAGTCTGTGGAGAATTAAGATGCAACTAATCCATCCGGATGGGAGCTTCGGGGTACGCGACTCAGAAGGGTGTCTCTCTGTGCATGCGTGTGTTCTAAGGAGCTGTGGCAAGAGGGGGGGGGCTGTTTCAGCACCAGATCACCCCCTTTCCTTTCTTGAAACGTTTTCCTGATTGACCTCACTCCCCCCCCCTCCCAGGACCCATCTCCATTAGTTTTCGCTCCCATGACATGAGGAAAAAATGTGAAGGTCTCAGAAGGACAGGCGTCTCCTCTCGCCAGCAAATGGGAGCCAGGAATCTATTTCGCTTGCAGGAAAAGCTCTCCCTTCAGCACCAGAATTTCAATCTAGCTCATCCCCCTCACCTTCCTTTGCCCCTGACAGATATAAATAAACACACATATTAGAAAAACATCCTAGCCTTTCTTCCAGCTCCCCTTCCAGCTGGGCCTCTGGAAAGGGACATGGGAATGTGGGAATCTGCCCTCACCTGTGCCTGGCCCTTGGTGACCACCTGGCCCAGTATGGATGACTATGGCCTGCAGATCCCTGGGTGTGTGTGTGTGTGTGTGTCCCATCCAGGGATGAAGGAGGCCTAATCCTGCTCAGTTCCTGAAAAGTGTTGGAGAGAGCATGTGTGTGTGTGTGTGAGATGAGGTTATTGGCTACTGACCTGGTTTCTTTCCTCCAGTGGACGGCGCCCCGATGAACACCACTGAAATCAACCCACTGGCTGCTATGGAGTGTGTGCCGATAGCTGCTGTGGAGGAGGCCCCCATCATCACGCCTGACAGCGTGGCACTGACCCCCCAAGACCCAGCCCAAAGCCCCGGGGCTGGCAAGGAGCGCCCCCCTGAGGACGACAGCAGCGCCTGTCTCGCCAGCCTTTGTGACGATTGTGACACAGAGATGGCTCTGCCACCTCCCCCAGAAAAAAGCCCCCCTTCCCAGGCTGGGTCTTCCGGGTCCCTGCCCTGGCCTGAGGCCCCCGAGGAGTGCGCCCCACCACGGCCCACCACTCTGGACTTCTCAAAGCCCCTCAAGAAGCTGGAAGAGGTGAAGCAGGCGGAGCAGAGGAGGAGTGGCAGCGGCCACGGCCACATCAAGGAAAACGGGCTGGAGAGCTGCCTGGAGGCGCCCCGTCCCAGCGAGGAGAGGCGAGCCCTCCAGTCTGAGCTCGGCAAGTGCATCGCGGACTTTCGGAAAATCAAGATCCCCGTCTCTTTCCCCAATAAGAAGCGCCAGTGGCAGAATGAGCTGCTGGAGAAATACCAGCTCTGAAGGACTGATTGTCCTCTTGAGTTGACACGCACAGCCCGCTGCCTGGGGACGTACGTCCGTACGTCTGTGGGGGACGGAGCATTCGGCAGCTCTGGTGCCACCGCGGGGAAGGCTCCGCCCTCGCTATGGCTTCACTGAGCTTTCCGAGGGCTCTGGTCTGGCACGAAGGCGCTCGTGCTCATCTCTGGGGGCATGGGCCACAGAACAGGGGCCACCTGACACCTTCTCAGTGAAGCAGGATGGGGGGAGGAGGAGCTGACAGTCTGGTCTGAATAAATAGAACAAGGAACATTTTTGCCATTTCTCCAGAGCTCTGAAAATGTAACTTCGTTGGACTGCCTGGGAGTTATAGCACATAAAAAGGAATGTGAAGAAGCTAAACCTTGTGTCTTCCCAGAGCCATGTGGTTGATGAACGTGAGACGTAAGATGAGTGCTTAGCTTCTTGGACTATGACTCCCAGAATCCACCAGACTGGGAGATTCTAGGACCAATCATCCTTAAAGCCATGTATTGAAAGTCGGGGCCTTCCTGGGTCTTCCATCTCAGCTGCATTCATGCAGGAGATTCCGGGAATCCGCTCTGAAAAGAAAACTCTGCACAGGATCCTGGGAGAGACGAGTCTTGGATCTCACCCGTCAAGAATCCCTCTTGGTCCTCAGTGTCTGGTGGCTGGCCTTTAAGGTTGACCCTGTTGGGCCCTGCCTGGCTCCCTGAGTTCAAAACCGAGGGTGAGCCTTCCAGGGTATGGGAGACGGAACCTGCCTCTGTCTTCTCCTTTCTTGGCAGGAAGGCAGGATGCTGCTCAGCGGGGCCATCCGGCTGCCTAGCTGGAGCCCACCGTGGCTGGCCTGGAAGGCCAAGGGTGCATTTTTTTTTGGGGGGGGGCGGTCCATAGGTGTGAGCAGAATGACATGGATCAATGGGGGGGGAATGCATGCCCCTCTGCACCTTTCACCTGGGGGGGGGAGCCATGATGTCACTGGCCTCTTTTCCTTGTTTTTCTACTTGGCCCTTGTGCCGGGCTGGTGTACAAAACAAAACAATAAAACAATACAATCCACCTAAATGTTTAGCAACTTTCAAGGCCAGACAATAACAAAATGGGCGAAAGACAAACAAGGTTTGCCAGCTTTGCAACAGCAAAGCGAAAGTTGCATTTCTAGGTAAACAGGGAAGAAACGAGAACCTCAAGGCGCCCCTCCCTCAGCCTCGCCATCCGTCCTCTGCAGACACTCTGTCCACGAAAGTAGAACCTCTTCTGGCTGCCTCTGGGATACTTTTCAGGCAGCATTTATAACTGAGCAGGATTAAGGGCGGGGGGGGGGTTGGGGAGTAGGAAAGGGGGCGGCTTAATTTCCCTTCCGCAGTCAGAGCCAGAGAGCGGTCCGGCTGATCCCGCCGGGCCGGCGCACCAACGCTGGAGAGGCAGAGCCCGAGAGAATTTG